TATATCCTGATCATTGTTATTTGCAGGGTGTCATTGGCCTCTCCGACTGCGAGCGATAATTCGACAAATGTAGCCGCCAAAGGGATCATCGGTATCGGGGCGATGGGGGCCATTAATAAGATGTTGAATTATGACAACAGTGGCTCTGTCAATTACTCGGTACAGTTCTTCTGTCTAACTTGTCACGGGTATGATCCTAACATAAGATATCTGTGAAGTCGATGGCTGCTGAATACGCCTCGCATTGGGAGTCGCTAGCGTTTGTCACGTCCAACGGCCAGGCGCATCTAATTTCAACATATGGAAGTCTGGAGTCTTCCTGGGCACTAGTGGACTCACTATTCGGCGATAAATTACTTGCGATGGGGGTGATAAGTTCCCAGGTAACCTTAGGGCATTTACACAGCGACAGCACAGATTGTTCACGTACTATAGGTCTATGATGCCCAAACCCAATTCTACGAGCAACTTATGAATGATAATGCCGGTATGACTCTGCTTGGTTGTTGATATCCCCATTAATGTCTTGGTGAAGCCTCCTATGCGTTTGGACTTCCTATGAATGATTCGTCGGAGATTGGGAACTCAGGTACGATGCTTTATCACTTTGATTCTGGCTTGCTCCTATAAATTTCTCCAGTGGCTCTGGCAATGGTTGCGGCAACCATGACAAACGCAAGTGTTCGCGCTCAAATCCTCTCGAACATTGCTTCCTACGCTTCATTGAAATCAAGAGTCGACATCTTCGCTTCTTCATATTATGTCTCGAGTGGATCGTACATTTCGGGCCCGGCAAGGTCTGTAATCGCGTGCTTTGTTGTATATCTTATGCTGACTGGCATCGAAGTCCTGCTCAGGGCGCGCTCTTTGCACCTATGGTACTGAGGTCAGTCGGTTCCAATGCCACAGAATAATGCGCTGATTCTTCATGGATAGTCTGCCAATACCATCATCAAATAGCACAACGCCCCCTACGCCCCCTACATCTTACACTCCCGAACCTTCACCAGCCAAATCACACACGAGTTTAAGCGTCATTCTTGGGGCCCTCTTTGGGAGCGTAGCGGGGCTCTTGGTCATTGCCGCCGTTTCTGTGGTGTTCGTGCGTCGTCGCCGACACAGGGCCGTCCCAAAAAACTTGCCTATCTCCTCACCTCCATTCCTATACGACACGGTTACACCGTTCATCCCCTCCGAGGACAGCATCTCGGGATCGTATGTTTCGCTTGAACGTCTCCGGTCATTGAAAATGGAAAGGATCCGCCATGCTGTAGTGACATCGTCTAGGTTCGAGTCGACGCCCCAGCCGTCCCCTCACGAGTCTTCTATGCAGCCGAGGAGTACGGCTACTCCGCGCACGGCTACGGGGAGCACGACTACAAGGGGCACATCCGCGGGGGGCGTGGCTGCTGGGGGCGTGGGCTCTCATCTGGGGCAGCTTGATGAGGGTCCAGGCAGAAACCACGTAATGACCGAGCTACGTACGGAAGTGTTGCAGCTACGCCAGTTCATGCAGAGTATGAATGAACGGCTGCAGGTTGAAGCCCCTCCTACATATTCGGAGTAGGCCCTGCGTCGTGACATGGTTGCGGCGTTCGTCTCGTTCGGTTGTATGTTTTATGATACACTGGCAGTATAGCCGTGCCTACGCACGGTTGGTTCATTATTGATTTCCGAGTGACGGTGTACCTAGAGGACAGCAACGGCAGCAGCTCCTGCCGCGTCCGCCCTGCGGTCGGTCGCTTCGGAGCTCCTGTCTACATAGTGCATGTGGCTACAGAAAAACCAAACACTGTTGAACGATAGAACAACAGCGAGCAGGAAGCACGCAGTGTCTCGCACTCGCGGTCCAAAACCATAGAACGGCCACTACCCCTCACGTCTACCACAGTAGCAGAGCGATCGCACTCGGATACAGCCCCATCCCCGCGTGCGGCGGCTGTCGTGGTGGACTGCCGGAGTAGCAAGCGGGAGGAACAAACGACAGACTCCAACGCGCCCGTGACAATAAAAGCACGATTGCAGATGGACTCGCCTGGATATCATGCACCCCAAACTTGAAGCTACAGCTTCAACTCTGGAATGCATGATGTCGCTGGTTTGCTCTCAAATGTAGCGACATGTTGCACTTTTATATACTCTTGATTGATTATGCACACTTCCGACATCCTCCGAGCAATGTTCGGGAGTGTATATGCACTTTCATTACTCATATTCTACTGTAATCATGGGCTTGGCAAGTAAATTGTCAGCTAGATTTGTTCCTATTGATGTGAACTGTCAGATTATCAAGCCACTGAACACTAACTTGTTCAACTGACAGCAGATAATTCAATGGTGCTGCCCGTGAGATGAGAGCGCGGCATGTACCAACTAAGCCAAAATGAGACACATGTATTCGGAAAAGGAACAAACGGCCAGAAAAAGAAACCACTCTTATTTATGATAGAAAATTCGTCTTGATTATGAGCGCACTGGCTCGGTGGGGGAAAAAACCAAAATCTAAGCTAGCACAATTCTCCAGCAGAAGCCTGAGTTTCGCATGTATGAACAGTAAATGAGAACCATAACATTCTATCACCTACCTCACCTTATTTTGTCAAGAAACACTTTTAATCCATTTGTCATGCATGTGGAATATGCGGCAGTGTAAGCTACACGATCCACATTATGAACAGAAGTATGGAATAGTCTGAAAGTAGCGCAACACAACACCTAGACCATCAAGCCGAAAGAAAAGCCATAACAGAACAGAGCCAGCAACAGTAAAGGGCCAGAAGGACTAAATAGCAGGAGTGTCTGCATAGCGGCAGCGGAGTTCGCGTCCAAGATAATGAGTCCCAGGCTTGAAAGGGGTGGCATAAAATACAGGGAGGTCTTCCAGAGCGAGGGACACGGGTATCCGTGAACAATCATTATGTTCGTCAATGAGCGAGCTCCAAATCTTGGAAGCCTTAGTCCTGGAAATACATGAGATGCAATTTGAATCCAAGACCAGAGTTCGGAAATGTTACATTTCCGACGTGGTATCTTTTTTTGAACCTGCTGTTTCGTATATCAAAGCATCGTGCTTTCTGTGACCCATTGGCGGCAGCTTGCATAGATCAATTTGCTTATGACTTGTACGTCGGGGTTTACAGCATCGAATTTTGCGAGTTGAAATATCTCTAATTGGAGAAAATTGCACAACACCAAAATTCGGTTCGTATATGCGGGCTCGTTTGCGAGGGCGGCGTTCATAGGACGGTTCGTCATCCTCAGGTAACGGCCGCTTTAAGCCTTGGCTGTGCTTGATCTTGCTGTCCGATTCCAAAAAGTCATCTGCGTTTGTAGGAACGGCGGTCGATTTGACCATCAGCGAATTGTCCACGGCCGACGCTTTCACATTACATCGCTCTGAGAAAAACAATATTGGGTGAACGTAGCAATGTAAGTCATGCCAGTATACGTATACCTACCATTCAGGACATATTTTCCCATTGGAACGGGGAAGTTCGCAGCAGCAGTTTCTGTAATCCAACCGGCATGGAATACCTGGAATATATCCAATCTGAAGACTCTGAAGGCATTGCAAGACTGGGCTTACTGCGATGGATCGTTCAACGAGTCTAGTACGAAATGTCCGATTGAGAGGATATCCAATGACATCTATGAGATCTGACGTACTTCGGCAACCAAGGGTCCTGTGTTCCCGCACAAAAGAAATACTTCGCAAGCAGATGGTCTTTCCGCGATTCAACCACATTGCCTCCGTGGCTTGCTGTGTGAACGGAGTTGTTCATAGGGCTTTGATTTTTAAACAGACACTCACCCCACTTCTGGCGTATTAAGCCAGGCACGGTTGGACTGAAGCAGGCTGCCACAGTATGGTCTGCTATCTCGCGATTTCGTACGTAAATGGGCGCATACACACCATAGCCATTGAACAATCCCATCTTTCATATATCACTGGAAGCTTACTTGTTGTGCGGGTTGGGCGTACTTGACGATGAATGGCCAGTATTTTGTGATGGAGGTCGACTAGTTAAGGCGATGTACTAGGTACTATATCGTGATTGAGAGACGCCCAATATTTGCTCTACGGATTTATCCGACGAATAGACTTGGTCGATCGCACAATCTTACTACAACATTGCGTATACTTGAACTTAACGTATGCGATTGCAGCCCGCCCAATGAGGTGGGTGCGCCACACTTCTCCTTCAAGTTTTGACAGCTCTGCTAAGCAGTGTAGGTTCAAATGTTTGGGTATATCCTAGCTATTTTAACTGTGTCTACATGATCGCCGCAGAGAGAACAGGAAATTGAGTAGTACGCAAAAGCGCTGTATATTCATAGAAGTGAAGCTATCAGTCGGCATACGGGTGTTGTCGATACAATTGGCCCGTAACCGTGAGTCCAATTGACCTCGATACATATCTTGCACAATTGACAATCAGCCTTACTGCACACCATTAAGTCTCGGAATTTCTTCAGACCGTCGCTTCGTCTATGCACAATCTTCACGATCCCTGGGCTTACAAATAGCCGGAATTTGATGATGCGATAACTCCCATATGACGAGGCTATCCCCCGGATTGCAGAGGTACAAGTACAGAGTGTAGGGTCGCAAAACGATGATCCATATCGTTCTGGCGACCAAAGGAGATGAGCATATTATTTGCATCTTTGAGCCAACAATTACACGCCCCTGCGGGATCACGATCTAGTTGAATGGCTCGTCAATCGAATGAGATCTCTACTACTTATCGCTCCACAACGGGGACCCGCCGAGGAGGGTCCATAGATGATTACAATCAGAAGGGAGCAGCGGCGAGCCACACATTCCCTAGATGGATAGATGAGTTGCTGCCTCGCTGTGATATCCCTATCTCGGTGTTTTTCTTTCGAGTCTAGATTGTCAAATGACCCACGGGAGAGAACAAGAACTGACCATTCTCTGCGGTGACCAACGGCAAAAATGTGCGAACTCGCACGAGATGTCGAGGTCTTCATTTCCCATAGATCCACACGCATGATCCGGATGCTGGCACAGGATGCTTCATGATCCTGGGTTCAATGGAATGAAGAGCGTTTTTGGCATAGATACAGTTACGCACCCACCGCATCCTAAAGAATACGTGTTGCATACGTGCCGGTCCGGGTATTGATAACAGCTTCGTATATATAAGAGAAGCTGTAAGATAGCACCCTCTTTACATCACTCGTTGATCTGGTCAAAGAGCAATGACAGTAAGTTTTGACTTTCATTAACATCAGTGTGACTGACCCTGGTGTGTACAATATTGTGCTGAGCAGAGCAACTTACCGACTGGTGTTACTGGATTGCCGCCAGGGGGGGACCTCGTGTGGCCATCATGTAGCTGCGCGAAAATCAGTGAATGCAAGAAGAAAGCACCATGCACGCAGGACGGGGAGACAGGTAGTAAATGTTCGACTTGCGAAGGTTGTGACGGTGAATCGAAGACGAAATGCCAGGCAAATCCCAAATGCCCCCCAAAATAGTAGTGAATGGAGGTGCGCAATATCCATCATTCTGCATTTGTTTCTGGAACATCTCATCGGAGGGACCAAATGTCGTGCAGGTTGGCAAAAGATGCTGGTTACAGAATGCGTATCAAGCGAATCTGAACTAGCCTTCAAGGACTGTGAATGATAGTAAAAATTGTAGTTCTTCATGATATAAGGAGTAGTTAGATAATGGATGTTGCCGTCATTTTCTTGCAACGAATGTTGGCTTCTGAGGCCTGAAGCCTGAGGGACGAGGAGGCCGTCATATCGACCGAGGCGCGGCAAACAATCATTTTGTTTCGACGCAAGAGCGCCCAAGGATAGTGGCGTCAGTCGGACAAGCTTGCGTGCTCTGAGCGACCTGAGACTAGTACTGTATAACTTCCAGCTTGTCCTCGAGCTTAATAGCGTTCGCTCCTCTTGTTGCAAACATGGACACCCCGTCCGCGGCTAGACCCAATCCCGACCGAACGAACTCAGGCTCAAGCGGAAAGACGCTACGCGCGGGGGAAAAGGCCGAAGACAAGACGAGTAGTGTCAAGGTTAGTCGCAAGTCGTGAAGACACGTCGGGTCTTATGCCAACGCATGCAGTCTTCTAGGTTCCTCAGTCGATACACCGGGGTGCTCGTTATAAAGAGAAGTACGTCCGAGCCCGCAGTTTACCATGGGCAGTTGAGTTCAGAGAGGAAATATGGCAGATTCCAAAATTTGAGAGAAAAGTACGAGCAGGTCACAGCCGTGAGTCGCAAGCGCTCCCAAAGTTGTTTCCCTAATGCTTGGCGACGATAGACCCATGAACTGGTAGAGAAACAGCTCGCAATCGCAAACGAGAAAGTGAAGAGGTTACAGGAGGAGTGCAAGTGCGTACTTCAAGCTCACGTATACACTCACTTATTCATTGCACCATCTTGTTTCGCAGTTTGTTATTAGATGCAGTCGATATTGCTGTGCCTGCTCAGCCGACTCTGCGACATTATCTAGCGCAAGATCCCATACCCCCGCAATATCATTCATACCAAGTCCCATTTCCTGCCGCCCCCAGTGCTACAACACCTCAACCATCACAACCACCGCCTCCCTCATCACCTCCGGTTCGTGTCAGCCGCAAATCCAGCACACAGACGAATGGAAATGGAGTTAAGCGTAAAGTAGGGGCCCTACGCGCGTTACCTTCAATGACGATGTGCTAACCAAGTTATTTGGCAAGTGACGACGTAAATTGGAAGGGATCCCGTGTAGTATTACCACCTTTTGCTTGCTTTGGGTACATTTTGCTGTTTTCAATATACAGAGTACTGACACGGCTCTCCGGAATTCCTCTGTTTCGGCGCGTCGCTCGAAGTAGTCGAAGTTCTGGCTGCAGATGCCGGCCGGATCGGCAAATCCCGCTCTGCTACGTATCCGCCTGAGAATCGAGATTGCATTATTGATACCGTTATCTGGCTCGTGATGCAAGTCTTTGCGAATCAGGACTCTTAAACTCCAGCCAAACTAATATGTGGTTGTTCTTGTTCTTCGTCTCTGCGTTTTCCATTATGTCTGCCCTGCCTGTACCCCTCAACGTCTACGCGGACCACCAGGCCACTCTTCAACTGCATACCGACTATGGTCCAGCTCCCCTTCCCGTACCGAATTCAACACGCTCGTTCTGGATCGACACGCCTGGTGCTAACCCGCTTGCGAGCGAGGGAAGTGAGGGCTCACTGACTGCCGACGCGGACGTTTGCATCATCGGCTCTGGAATCACTGGGGTATCGGCCGCATATCACATGGGCAAATTATTGAAGGGTCCGGAGACATCTGTGCAGCCGCTCAAAGTTGTGATACTAGAGGCGAGGGATTTTTGTTAGCTCTGACTTGTTGAGTGGACCAGAAACTGTTCTGAATCGGATGGAACTATTGGCAGGTTCAGGCGCGACAGGTGCGCCGTTCACTGATGCGCACTTGACAGAAGACGTGCTGAGACGTGCGAAGGTCGCAATGGTGGACACCTTACTCCCATTGCATTCAGGGACTTCCGGCCAGCTGCAACTGCGCATGGGACGGATGAGGCGCTGCGATGGCTCGCTCTAGAACGACACACGGCGACTGAGATCGTGAAAATTATTCAGGAGCATGAGTTGGAGCAGACGGTAGACTTGGTCGAAGGCGGGCACATCGATTTGATGTTCACCCCCGAGGAGGTCGCGGATATGAAGGCAGACTATGAAGCCGCAAAGGAAGCGGGCGTTGACTTGAACAACGTCCGTTGGTTCGACGAGGCGGAGATGAAGGCCGTGAGCACGCGATTCATTTCATTACATGGGATGAGCGCTGTCTGATTTCCTGGCGGTTCAGCAACACGGGACCGCGTACCCTGGCGTACGCGCCCCGGGACATAATCTGTGGCCGCTCAAGTTCGTGACAGAGCTATACAAGCTCGCGGCGTCCTCGCCCCAGCTTTCACTCGCCCTGCACACGCGCACTCCGGTCACCGCCGTGTCTCTTGCGGAGGGAACGGAGGACTCATCATTATCGCGCAGGTGGACCGTAACGACACCGCGCGGGTCGCTCGCATGCTCGTATGTGCTCCATGCGACGAATGCGTATGCCTCCCATTTGCTGCCGCACCTACGAGGCCCGGCTGGGATCATTCCAACTCGTGGGCAGATTATTGCGACTCGCGCGAACACGACAACTGAGGTGCTCTCGCGGAGCTCGTTCTCAGGGAATGAAGGCTTCGAGTATTGGTTCCCGCGGCCGATTAAGGAGAGCGACGTGAGCGGATATCCGTTGGTCATTTTGGGCGGGGGACGCGAGGCGGCGACGCCCGCATACGAGCTTTATGTAGCGGACGACTCGGCTGTAAGTGCAGATGTGAGTGACGTGCTGAGGAAGTTTCTCCCTGCCGTCTTCCCCGGAAAGTACGAAGAAGGGCATGAGCCCGAAATGGAATGGGTGAGTAGGTGTCTTGGGATCGGCCGAACTTGACACGATACATAACCATCTTGCAGACAGGAATTATGGGATTTACAGCTTCAGGCGATCCATTTGTGCGTGGGGCATGTTACACATACCTGTGTTGTATCAGCGTAATCAGGGTTCTATTTATATAGGTGGGACCCGTCGCAGGTACCTCTAAGGAAGATATCGCGGAATCTTTTAAAGGCCAGTACATATCTGCAGGCTATACTGGCCATGGAATGCCTCGTGCATTTGCATGGTATGTTGCTTCAAACTTTTCGATGATCTGCAAGAACTGATAATCGGTGACAATATTTCTCCAGCGCAGAGGCTGTTTCACAAATGATCGCTGCCGACTTCATGGGACGCGATTGGGTTATACCAGAGTGGCTTCCCCGCCACTATGTCACCGACCTGTAAAGGGCATCTTGGGAGTGATGAAGGAGTAAATTTGACAAACAATGGCTGGGAGTGAGCGCAAAACCAGCATATACAGCTAGGCAGAAGAAGTAAATCTGTACGTAGATAGATTCAAAAAGATTGTCTAAGTATCTCGTCCTTCTCCGACGGTGGATCTTTCCTGTATATAATGTTCACCTCCCATCCAGCAGCCTGTGATCCTTGCAGTCTGCGGCGAATCGCGTTTTCTAGTTCGACAGGGAGCGTGTGGTGACGTCTGTCCCAGCGATTGTTGATAATATTGACGGTCAATTCTAACCCAGGCTGTTTCACGGCGAGAGATGAGATGGTTCCATCAATATCTGCCCAAGGTAGGCTCAGAATATCGTTCAATATGGCTGTGCATAAATCGAATATGATCTGGCGAATTTGTGTTGATCGGATAGTGGATAGAACAGTAGCCATCCAACCGGTGTCTTCTTGTTGATGCATCCATATATGCTTAAAATGGAGGCCCGTCAGCCGCTTGTGTTCGGATAGTGATAGCTCTTGCATAGGCGGCGCTGAAGGCAGTTAAGAAGCTCAGTAGATATCTGTTCTTGCTTATGATTGAAACGTACAATAGGAGCATTTCTTGTGAGCGAGCGACAAACGCTCAAGTGAGGATCCGGCGTTGTTGAGCAAGGTCTGCACTACTTCCGCATCACGTTCCCATGCGATATCGAGATGACGGAGCTGTATGGCAAGGGGCCCGCAGAGAAGCCAGTCGATGATTGAGTATTGACTGAAATGGACGGTCAAATCCTGGAGAATAACGTTCTCCGTCGGAGTAATTCCTTCCAATAGAGGGTGCAGCGAGAAGGTTTGCATGGACATTCCTCGGGACCAATACACCTTCAGGCTCTTGAGCCTTGGGCAGGAGCATAACAGCCGCGACAGGGACCCAAGAAACTCTGGCGGGACGATGAGTCGATCAAGACACAGTGCCTCCACCAGCCCAACGCAGCCGAAAAACGCCAGCCAGACGTCCTGTACCATCGCATCTGCAAACCACCATCGAATAGTCAACTCCCGCAGGGCGGTAAGATTGTGCAGTATGGACGAAAACCGCGCTTCCGTCATATGGATACAGAGGCTACGAACGTATGATCCAAGCACGGGAGCTTGTTGAACGAGTTCCCAGAATGTGTCGTAGTTTCCGCGATGAAGATGGATCGAGTGGAATAGGTGGGATCGAACCTGTGGACGCAATGCACGGCATACGAGACCGCTCGCTGCGAGGGAGGATCGGTCATCCCAAAGGTAATCGATGATACCTTCGTAGAGCTCCCTGGGCAAATCTGTCATGAGTGCAAACTTGATAGCAGTAGCTTTTGCCATTCGAGGTCTATAAAATGTTATCAATTATGATCGAAGGAAGCTACTCGAGTTCTCTTCCTACTCACAACTTGAATAAGACTGATAGATCAAAAAGTGTGCGCTCTCCAACTTTGCGGACTACACAACTGCTTCAACAATGAGTAAGGGAACGTATATGAATCTAAATATTGAGATTCCACTCACATGAACGTAGTGTCACTAGCACACTTTGGCAAATGTACGAATCTCTCTTCCTATTGACCCTTCGAGTGTATGTGACAGCTCAACGAATGAGGTATTCTTGTACACCGTTCACTTGCTTCAAGAACCGCGCTGACGGGGCTCATGAGCTAGATGACACGCTTGATGGGATACTTAACAACTAGTACTGACGAAAGATGGTGAACGTCGATGAGACCAAGTCAGCGCGATAATGGTACCATGCCGTGCCAGGCACGACTTTGGGCGGCCTTCACTCAAGACTCGTTATCAAGTCGTTACGACGAACTCGGAAAGCAGCTCGGAAGCATCCGAATTGTATATAACTTTGACATGTCACCCCAGGTGTAAAACAAAATGAAGCCTCACAAGTACTGGCGATCCGGAAGGCACATGCCGTGTTTGAAGGACACGCTCAAAAACGTGTGTAAATATTGGAAGTACAGACTCTTCAGGGAAGGCAACTTACTAGTTGTGGTACTTAGTGCAGAATGAGTCTAAGCGCTTCCAGGCACAAATTCTCCGGCTCAAGCCGGCCGCACACCACAGTTCCAGAGTGCTCCTCCTTCGCTCCCACTCATACTTCACTCCTGAATCGTGTTGAGCCCGAGGGGACCATGAACACTGCAAGCATGGAGACGGCCCAACGGCAGAGTCATTTGTGGGAGGATATCTTGACACGGATGCGAGTAAACCCACTGGACAAAATTTCGCAGCGTTGTACAGGTCGCTCTCGGCAGATATCGTCACGTACTCTTGTGGACACTGCTCGATCTATGAATAGAGGAATTTGCTGCCATTGGCAAAGCACTGTCTCCTTCATTGCACGGATCTTCTCCCAGTCTGCGGGATCCCGTTCGATGCATGAGCTATATGAGTTGTCATGCTATAGTAAAGCCATGACAGACCTCCCCCAGTTTTGTGTCCATACTGCTCGAGCATCAGCCCATAGTAAACCAAGATCTACGCACCCGCCTTTTCCAGCGTCTTTGCATACCCCATCGTCTTCTCCACCGTATGTAATACATGTGACTCGGCTATCACCAGCAAGCTGAAGCTGTAACGTAGCGTATTGACTATAGAGTCATCAATATATGCGCATATACCAATATCTAAGAGATACAGCTCACTAGGATCATAAGCAAACCCCTATTCACCCCACAAGGGTGACCCATAATTTCCTCCCTGCGAGATTCAGCATTCAGCATTGATATCCATCGCACCACAATATCCCTCGACCGCCTCTTTCCAAGTTGTTATTACGGGTCGTTCATGCAGAATTGTACAAAAAGCGGCTAGTCCTCAGGCCTCAGAGTCGCCTTCTTCGCCAAATGTAAGGTTAAAATCCCGCTCTAGATTTTGCTTGCGCATGTCTCATTGTCTTGTACAAACACCTGAACGAGAACGACCGCGGTGAGACTAGTCGATTTTTAAACAAACGAGATCAGCGCATACCGAGCTGGATGCTACCAGCGACCGTATCAGCTCACTTTTGTCTCAGAACATCGACAACTTGTTTGCGCTCTGTGCTTCCGCGACAGCTTTCTGTTCACTTTGATCGACGCGGACATTATATCCTCCGAGCCCGAGCTCTGTGCGCTCTGCCAATGGTACGTGCAGGCGGTAAGCCCATGCAGAGCTCCAAACGGACAAGGCGGAGAATTTTGGCAACGAACGGAACACAGCAACAGCAGCGCGTGAATATGAATTTCACAGCTGGCTCCTATTTGGTAGACAAAACTACTGCCTAGGCTCGTTCCGGCAACATCCGAACCTCGTTCTGGTCAATTCTCTCACTTTCTCTGTTTACTTGCCGAGTGTTTCTCTTCCTCGAGTGTAATCCGTGAAGGAGACTTGGCTTATCTCTGTATTCTGGAATTGTAATGTATCTCACTTTGACGTGCCAATCGTCTGTTTTATGCGCATGAGGAAAGTTGGTGTGCTCCGAAATTCCTCTGTGCATATTGTGTAGTGGATGGTGAGCGTATTTGATCCAAAAGCTAGTTTCAGACGTGCAAAATTTCCATTCTATGGACATGAGCTCGCATTTTCATGCCAAACATCATCAGTGCTGTCCTTAGGTAACCATCTTCAAGATCCTCGTCTTTCGATCGTCGAGCTCGTTCAATTAAGCGGTATGTTTTCATCCACTGACCACGACTATATTTTGATCAGCGGCACAGCGAGTAGCTCGATGAAGGTGAGCAAACCGATGCGAATGTTGGGAAACAGCAGTGAATGCCCACTAGTAATAGGACGATGGTGAGTTATTCACAAGGTGGAGGTCACGCTTATTCGGGCATCAGGACATCTAGGGCGAAGCGAAACAGACAACAGACGTATTACAATAGATCCAGACCAACTAGTTTACCAATATCATTTAGAGCGTCTTCCTGCAGTCTGGAGGGAACTCGGTTAGTGGCTAAATCGTGACAACTTATGTACTAGGAACTTACAAGCAATCATTCGAAGCAGATCGTATTCGATTTGGTAGCAGAGTATGTCCTACTTATTCACCCACCGCCCGTTTTGTGACTCATTGTGGACTACGCCCACCTGTTTGCTCTCACTAGTACAGGATGAACTGTGTCCAAAGTCGCTGTGAATACACATGAGTAGTAGGAGACCAAATAGTAGAGGTGCTGACATCTGTCACACTTTCTTGGGCTCGCCGATTTTGAACTTCATTCCATTCGCTGAGGTGAATATTCCCTAGCGGCGCGGGTTGACCTCGAGCGTTACGGGTGTCGGATCACCGAGTGCGTGTCTTCGCTGTGTCGATCGACTCTTGTATCAATCTCCCATTGCGCTGTCTATTTTGAGGTATCCACTCACTGTTAATCCGTATCGAGTGTGGGACAATGGCTAAGTCTCGGCGCCCATGGCATTCTCGAAATGCACTTACACCGCTTTCCTTAAACTGCTTTTTCATGACGCCACCAATGATGGCGACATCACCGTGACCTCCTATTGCCCCACCCTCGCCTGCCGGCTATCCCTGCCTACGTCGCGTGCTTTGTCCGACCATAAAGTGTTTATTGAGCTTTAATTGGAAACCTGGCACGAGGATGACGGCAGCAGCATCATAGGGATAGTTGTAGATGTCATTTTTACCTTCAGCCTTTAGGCTTCAAAGTTCGCACTTGTCCGGAGTCGCACTCCAATTGCGTCGGAACAGTCAATTTGAAACCAGGGATACGTAGCCAGCCGGGTCGCGTGGGTCTATATCAGAATCACACAGGTGAGCTCCCCGGTGACGGAGTGGTGTGATGAGTGGCGGATGAGTTTGCCGGCCGCGGGCGTGCACATGATCCATATCTTTTCTTGAAGACTCGGACTCGGGGACGTCCAGCTCGGAGCTTGTCGATTGCCTTTACTTTGTGCCCATATCGACGGTTCGCAGCTGAGAAACACCGTCATCGACGTTGAGGGTGACGGGGCCCACTAGCAACTTGCATCAATCGCCAGGCATCTCGGATGGTGGTGAGATCTGCTGTTTTCTTTGTGTTCCTTGGCTGAAACACTGACCCAAAGGCCATATATGTGGCAGAAGACAGCAGCAGATTTACCCTCTGAAATATGCGACATCCTCTTCAGCCTCGTCGTCAACCGTCGCGACCTCCTCTGCTGTAGCCTCACCTGCCGCGCATGGTATCCCTCGACCCGGCCACGCCTGTTTCACTCCATCAACTTACTCGGCTCCCATCAATATGTACGATTCGAACACCTGCTCCAGGGGTCACCCAAATTGGCAGACTGTGTCCGCGATCTCTCGATCACTCTCGATGGCACCTTCTCCTGGATGGACCAGGAGGCACCTCGCATCCTGCTCAAGCTCACACAAGTCGAGCGGCTGAGCATCAAGAATTGGTCTGCCACCATCATGTCCTCACAAACACGGCGGAACTTTCGCAAATTCTTCCCAGAGATCAAGGTGTTGTCCCTCCAGGACGTCTCCTTCGCTGCATACGACTTCCCGCTGTTGTTGGTGTCGTGCCCCAAATTGTCTGCTGTGCACTTGGAAGCCGTGTATTGGCAGTTTCGAGACAAAGTCATGATGCCACTACCATCGCCAAAGTGTCAGATCCAGACACTTTCTCTTCGTGAATCCACAGCTATCGTGGCTTTTTGGCTTGCGAACAGCCCGTTTGAGATGTCTCTGCAGAATTTCGAAGCATTCTGGGGAGATCCGGTGCAGGCCACATATGTGCGCGCGTTCTTGGAGAAGGCAGGGTCACGTCTGCAGCAGGTGACGCTTGGATTCCATCCTCAGCAAGATCGAGTGGATGAATTCCAGAGTCAGTTCGGCTCCGGTAAGCGCGAGTCTCCTTATCCACAATTGCACTGACGTGTTTGCTCAGATGTGACACTAGCCGATATAGGCCTTTGCCATAACACCGAGCTAACGTCGATCCGAATCCAGGACGATTTGTCTGGGTATCATCCTCCGGACGCGCTGGCCCATAAGTGGGTTTCGAATGTGATCGCACAGCTGATGTCCCCGCACCTTTGCGACATCTACATTAAGCTCATACTCTCCTCGCTGCCCACTGTCGGTGGCTTGGATTGGGAGCAAATTGACCAGCATTTGGTTCGCTTGGCCATCACGGAACCTCGGTTGAAGGTGACTTTCTACGTAAGTCTGGTAGATTTTGCTGCGAGCGAATGTGTCGTCCCAACAAGAATGATGGTGGACGCCATTGTGAGGCGACTGCCCAGGTTGACCGCTCAGACACGTCGACTGGGCGTGGTTTGCGAGAACACACAGGACGACCAGCCCTTGTCATTGATACCGTTCGCTGGGGCGTTCATGGAGGATTAGGAAGACTATGCTATGGACCTTTCAAGCTAATTTACTCATCCCGCTAACATGTACACTTATTATGCCTGCCTCATCGGCCGACTGTGACATCTACGCATGCTATTTATGTCCTTTGATTTTTGTCGTTATCCTGTTCAAGATATCTCTTCGCTGTCGATGCTATGCACCAATATATGGACCTTGATTTATTGAGATTTTATTTTAGCACTCCGGGTCGCTCTACACTTTTCCAGCGGTAAGAAGCCTCGCATCGAGAGTTCCAATATGTCGCGTTGTATGGAACTCGAACACCGACTAGTGGCTGATGGCTGATTGCGGTATGCTTAACGCTTCAAACTTTCGTCGGACGAGGCTCGAATAAGCGGACATTTAATTCCTTGGCATTGACTGATGCGAGCAAAAGCAATTTGTAATTGGACGGACCATGGTTTTATTGACGCGTTATTTGGCCATTTCCTTACCGGTGCTGCGTTTTGTCAAGCAACTCAACGCCCAACGTCTTCCTTTCAACCACCACCATCTCTCGCCTCCCTCTCGCCACCTCGTCTGTACCGTTCGACGTGCGCTCTTCGCGTTCGCTGGGTCAGTGGATAGTCTCGTATAAGTCCCTCCTTCACGCTCCACCCCGCCCACTATTACTTCGAGTTGCAAAGTGAGTGTTGTCCGAGCATTATTTGTGGTTGGTTGCTCTACTGCGCGTTTGCACTGATCCCTCATTTCTTGATACGTGCAGCCCTCACTCTTTTTGCAACTACCTAGGTTCTGACATGGCGACCTTCTACTCGAGTTTCTTCTCCTCTGGTCTCGCCTCACTACCTCACGAACATGCGCCTCTGTCATCGTCGCCCTCAACACCTCGTCAGTCTCAGGCCACACTTGCCGAATCCGACGTATTCGCACCAGATCCTGATACGACACCAACCGCCAATGAGTTCTCTTCACATCGGTCTCCTCCAGGCGACGTTCTACCGTCCGTGCCAGCTGAACGCACGAATGACACGCGTCCCACACTTCGTAGACGACGGTCCTCGTTGAGCTCGGCCACTTCGCCGCTCTCATCTATCAAGACAGGCACTGCTCCACGTGCCGCTCGGCAATCTCTGTTCGTGGCTCGAGCACGGTCAGGTAGCGATGCCAGTGGACACTTGCGTGGGGAAAACGCGACAGAACGCAACAGCCTCGTTGGTAGGATGCGTAGCGGCAGCGTTGGCGGTGCGGCAATGCGGTATGCGAGCACTACGCTGTCATTTTTTGATCTGAATTAAACGTATCTAACAGCGGCTTACGCCGTATGTCACGGAAACCCGCGCCACCGCTTCCTGCGCCCCCGCCGACGGCCCCACTTCCTGCACCGCCGTCGCGTGTAAATGGTAGTGTACCCTCCATATTTCCGTTGCCTTCTATCGCAACGCCTCAAGCGCCCTGCACTCCGCCCCAGCGGCGCCCACTAGCGCGGCGCGCGCACACAACAGACAATACGAATCTCCATGGTACCCTTTTGTCACCTATGCGTACACCGTATCTCACGCCGGACGAGGAAATGGAGTATGCAATGCCGTCGAGTCCCGGGTACGAGCCTGCCATTGCGCGGTGCGGTCGGGAGAACCAGTTTGGCATGCAAGTCGATTATCCAAGCCCTGTGGACGGTGATCGCGAGTTCAACTGGGACAGAAATGACAGCATGAAAGAGAATTGAGACTGATAGCGGCAGCGCAGGCGCTGAAGCAGCAATCATGCGAACCATTGTGTACTTATATTCTTGGCCTCAGTGTAAATTTTGTGCTTTGTTCATAGGTGAGTGTTCGACTGCCTTCTGACCTCCTGACCGTACTAAATTGGTGGTGGTGAACCAGACGGATACCATGAACTGTCCTGGGGGGTTACGATTTTGAGTCTGTCGTTATAAGTGAACTATCTCGAGTATATTGATTTAATCTTGTTATCTATCTTACGTGCATAGCTGCTTGTGGTGCATCATAGAATATACTTGGCAAATATAGTCTTCTATTGTTGCGGTCGGAATGATGCCTTGGCTGGGTTCTTCATTGCTATATGATCAGAAGTGTTCTTTGCATAATGAATTAGGTGAATCATACTTGGTGATATTTTCACCGTGGTACAAGCCTTTCTGCAGACTATCTGACTAGTACATACACTGGCAAAAATGACAGCTGAATTGTAGCCGACCGAGACTGTAGAGTATGATCCCACCCTGATCAAGTAGCGATTGCAACGTCAGGGTAATAGAAGGTTTTGTTACGGCTGAATTCCTCTATGATCTCCACTTTGCACCTCATAGCCACTAGCTTTGGTAGGCGACCCAAAATCGACGAAACGATGTGTTTGGTGATCTGATCCTCACATTCCACCTCGAGCAAATTTATGAAAAATTTGACGACTAAGTTGAGATGGGTACAAACCACACGGGCCAGAATTGAATCCATCAACGTCCACTCAAGCATGTCGTAATCAACTGTCGTGTAATTGTAATGCGAAGTGAAGGAAAGACAAATCTGCTAAGGCTCGGGGCAAATTCAACGTCGATGAGAGCAAGGTAAATCCATGAGTACGGCAGTGCTGTAGTCTTCGACTCGGATATGATGATTCTCAGGTCGAGAAAGCGTAGTTGGGTGTGCTCCCGCAGTCTGGGGTCTGTATACGTTAATCCACGCAAGAAAGACATCGAGGTAAAACGCACTATGTGTTTGCGTGAGTGGGCCCCCGTCACTTGAGATGTGAACGGAAAGATGCTGCAGAGATGATGCTATCATGGCCAATAGTCTCTTGATCAAGCCCGTGTTTCAATGAAACAACCAGGCTACATGGAGGAACTCCAAAGTTGGCAAACATGGCAGTTTCAGTATCAACTTTATGAACGCTTCATCGCATAAGCAATCGAGTGACAACCGTGTGAGGTGCGTCGGATACAGATATAAAGCTGCATGACTCGGAAAGGAGTACAACCTAGGTAGACACGCAGCTCTGAGATTATCGGAAAAGCTTTTAGCAGGTCCTCAAATACTTCGAGGGTGATCTGAGGATACTCTAGGTGCAATGTCTTAACCGAGGGAAAATCAGTTGTAGGTGCGCTCCAATTATTGTAGTAGGTCATTAGATGCTGGATAGTAAGTGACTCCACTCCTGGGAGGGCAGGGAGAATGCAGAGAAAATCTGGAATATCCGCCATTCCAGGGATGCAGAACACCAGAGAGCGCACGTAGAGAGCGATGTGAGGAGATTGCTCCGCTATATGTTCAAACTTCAGGTAATGGTGCGAACGGTATAACCTCATGTCACGAAAAAGATGCAAACGCGCGATCGGAACAAACGCACGGCATACGAGTGCGCATGCTGCAAGAGTGGGCTGATGGTCCCAGGTGTAATCCAGTACAATGTCCCATCTCTCCGCTGGTATTCTTTGTGAAGGAAAACGTTAGATGGTTATAAACTCATGCTGAAAAGATGAAACTTAGAACGGCATCATACCTCAATGACGAGAGAACATTTCGATGCTAGTTAGGAGCAAGTTAGAACTGACACCTTTCACCGTTTCGGATGTTGCCGGTTATGCGAGTGATAAGATGGACTTATCCGTGTGCGAGTAAATAAATAATCTTATCGGACACAGCACTCGTTCTGCCAGCACCGACCATCTTCCTTCGTTCTCATCGCTCTGCTTTGCCGGCCATTCCAGTTTGATTTTGCTCTGCAAAGCTTGCAGCACTACCTCCTTGCAAGTACCTTCATGACGACTTGACCGCATGTCTCAGCAAACCCTTCTCTCTCTGGCAGCAGCTTTCCTTGCCGTAACTTTCATTACAGTGAGTGCGTGTCATCCGGGACCAAGGTTGTATTACTTGCGACATATGATGAAGACTAGATCATCCTTGTTCTACGAGCCATGGGCATTCTGCGCCATGGCTACGACGACAACCGTACGGTCGGGGTTCACTCAGTGACCCAAACTCGCTGATCGTCATGCTCCATTTAACCTCCCGCGTTTCCGACTCAAATTTGCTCACCTCTGCATTTCACAGGGTTATGCAGTACTCGTGGCCCTCTCTCCCGCTCCGCGCAAGGCGCGAACATCCGAGAGGACGTATCGCTCTGCGAAAACACCCTCAAAACCGCAACCGCTCGAGTCCATCGCAGATCCCGCTAGCGTTGATTTGAGCGTTATTGTCCCTGCCTACAATGAAACGACACGTATGCCCGGCATGCTTGACACCGCTATCGCACATCTCTCTACCTCGGCGCTCCGGAGCAGGACGTACGAGTTTGTGATCGTGGATGACGGGAGCACGGATGACACCGCCGCGGTTGCACTCAAATGCGCGGCGGCCAACCCGAAATGCGACATCCGCGTTGTGCGGCTCGAGCAGAATGCAGGCAAGGGTGGCGCTGTGCGCCACGGGATGCTGCATGGAAGGGGAAGGCGGTTGCTCATGGTAGATGCGGACGGGGCGAGCAGGTTTGAAGATTTAGAGTCGTTATGGAAGGAGATGGATAGGATAGCGCCCCATGAGGAGGCTGCGGTGGTGGTCGGTAGTCGGGCACATCTCGTGAAGACGGAAGCGGTTGTCAAGGTGCGTGGCATGTGTGAAGATGCGCTTTGTCGCTCATTACTATGATAGCGTTCGGCTCTCCGCAACGTTTTGATGTACGGTTTACACACGATCCTGCGCATCGTGGGTGTTGGGCACATCCGCGACACTCAATGTGGGTTCAAGCTCTTCTCGCGCGCCGCGGCGCAACACATCTTTCCGTATCAGCATCTTCCTTCATGGATTTTCGACGTCGAGCTTTTGCTACTAGCTAAGCAGCTGCGCATACCCGTTGCGGAAGTACCTATTGAATGGCACGAAGTCTCAGGCAGCAAGCTTAATGTGATGACGGATTCGCTGCAAATGCTACGCGATCTGCTCGTGTTGAGAGCAAACCACGTCTTAGGAAGATGGAAGATAGGACCTCCTCTCTCCAGTACAAGTAACCTAGATGGACACCCGAAGTAGTGTCATTGCTCGTAATTATTTATGAAATCTGTAATTTTCCGGCATTGCTCAGCTTTGAGTGACGAGTGCACCATGCTTCAGGTGCTCGTAAATTGTCTTCGTTCAGGGCAAGAACATACTATGGCACTGTTCAAGCACTGCAATATTGCAAAGGTGAGTCTGTAACTCTAATCGAGATTGATACATGCTTGTTAGCGTTTCTTAACAACCGAACCTGGATTAGAAGGCGCAGCAAGCACTATGGCTTCATATAAACTCACCATCCATGAGAGAAGTGTCATGTAGAAGTCTTCCTCTGGAGGTGAACATAAACCTGATGCAGCTGTTGGCGCGATGTGATGTGAATCACGGACAGTGCCTGTTTCATAGCTATGGGACGGAGAGCCTGAGCAGTGGCGAACAAGTTGAGAGCATCGCGAGTGAATGAGTGCGACGCAAGTTCGGATAGAACATTGTCGTTCAAGCGCAGCAGGGGCGATGGCGACGGTAAAACGGCTTCCTATAAGGAGGTTCCCAATCAGAACAAACGAGTAAAACAAAGAACAGTGTGTCACTTGTGTTTGTACATCTGCCATCTGGGGCAGGGGGGGTATAAGCTAAGAAGAAACAGATACGATACTAGAATAAGTCCTACTGTCGGACGGTGATAGACGTGAGGAGCAGTAACTATTCTACATTTTGGACTGTGAGTACGAGGCACTGCGTGCTCTTTGCTTGCTGTTGTTCTATCTATCGTTGGTGTTTAGTCCTTTTGTAGCTATGGTTATGTCACTATGTAGACGGGAGCCCCGAAGCGACTGACTGCAGGTCGGACGCAGCAGGAGCTACTACTGTTGCTGGCTATTAGGTACACTATTACTTGAAATCAATAATGAAGCAACTGTGCGTAAGCACGGGTATACTGCTAGTTATGAATAAATCTTAAAAGACACTGAACCTTGATGTGACTGGCACTTGAGGTGAGCATGACATAAAGTCACCGCCTGTGGGCACTCAAGAACTGTATTACTATCAAATCGGGCGGCAATTGGGGTCACCTTAGACGAATGTGAAACAAGCACTTATTCAATGCAACCTGCATCATATCCAACATATGCTAGAGGGTAGGACTATAAGTGCCCGTTCGAGTTATGGATGAAACTGCATCACAATCACCTATCACCGTAACTGACAAAGATGTTTAGTTACACGCCACTACAAGGCTCTCAGAACCCTCTAGTTATGAGAGGCTTCAGAGTCTATCGAGTCCAGCGATGCCTCGGCCTTCGCGGACCGCGGCCTGATCAAACATTTGAATGGGACCGGATGGCTTGGAGATCCTAGATTAACGTTCACCCCCGTACAGATACCAACAAACATACCTGATTAGTCCACTCGTATACTCAACGACAGGCTCTATCACTCTCCCGTGCTCTACAGCCTTCGAGGCATCATAGCGCATGATAGGAAAATGGATGCGTCCGCGAAGTTGAGACCTGAGTGAATGTAAGGTGAAAAACTTGTGCCAATAAACGTATGTCCTTACCAGGGCAGATTCTGAAAAAGAGGCGAGTCAGCTTTCAGAGTCACAGCCAACGTGAGAGGATAAACCTTCTGCCGAATCCAAATGCGACAAGACGAGGATCTGTTTCGGGTTCCGCGCCCATGAACCTGCCAGGATTAAATTCCAATGGATTCTTGTAGGTCTCAGGATTGTGGAGAATTTTCCTTCAACAAGCAGTAATAATATCATAATTTCAAAAAAGGTTCGCTATGAATGAGCGCTAACCAGACGTTTACTGTGATCAGAGTGCCCTTCGGGAAAAAATATCCGGCGTAGACGTCATCTTGAACAAGACGATGGGAAACACCTGCATCCTCCTTCTAAGTAGTATACAGTTGTACTTTTGACAAAGAGCAGGTTACCCACCGAGCGGAGCAACAGGGTTCCACCGATGGAGCTCGGCACACACTGCATTGACATAAGGTAGTGAATCCCGGTCAGCTAGGGTCGTGAGTCGATCGTTGCCAATAACAGCGTCAATCTCTTGCTGTGCCTTCTTTTCTATCTCAGGATGGCAGGCCATGGCCAAGAAAAAGCTTTGAAGAGTAGAGACAGTCTAGGCAGAGGTTAGGTTAACGAGGACAAATTCGGACGAAGAATGAACTACGTACGGTATCAGAGCCACCTAGAAACCGGAGTAGATCGATTCAGCGATCGGTAAGGAATTTTCTAGTAAGAAATTCACCAGAGTAGAGTGCACCAGCAGTAGTCTTAAGAGTCTTTTGAACTTCCTTCGTAGGATCCGGGTTGCCCTCCATGTTCACCGACAGGAAACTGGGAGTAGCTGTGCCCGCGGCCTGGCAAATTCACAAAACTGGTAAGAACGGTAAGAACACATAATCTCTTTCTTACTATTTCCTTCTCAACAATGTTGTATGACACGTCGAACATGGCATCCATGTCTTTACGGGCATCTAAAGCCCTCTGCTTCCAGCCAGTACCCGGTGCCCAGGATGGGACATGCTCCACTTAAACATATGAGCAATTGAAGGAAGAGGAAGAGAGGATTCGCTGCATACAAATCGGGAAAAAGTCCACAAGAAAGCTCCCCGGAAGTACAAACATAGTGAACCGAGCCATTGCTCTGTCGACAATCTCGATTAAAGGATCTTTTTCGCCCTTGATCTGGTACCCGTACGTCATCGTGAGGATGATTGCTGCAGCCGACCTGCATATATACGATATGAGCGGTGCAGTGAGCACGAAATACAGGGACGCTCACTTCTTAATGTGGTTTACAAATTGATCGGGGCTACGCCGAAGGTCCAAGAGGTATTTGCTTGTTTCGTGCTGCAACATTGGGGCAAAACGAGCCACGCTACTTCTGGAGCCTATCCATTGTGACAGCAAGCGGCGTGTTTCACGAAGGCGCGGACCATAAGGAGTCAGTATAGCAAGGCGATCCCATCCGACAATCTTCCCACCGACAGTTAATATCGGTCGATCGGAGTATAGCGTGCTTCGTCGCTCGAGCAGCTCCGTGACATGCTCAAGCGAGCTGACGACGACGACAGGTTGACCGAGGAGTGTGACAGATATAATATCACCTGTGCAATTCAACAGTCGAAATCAAACTTGGAATGGATGAAACACGGCACCACGTATGCTCACCCCATTTCTCCGCCCATTGAGTGTATGTTTTCCATTGGTACGAGGTGGGCATGTCAAAGACATTTCCAATAATAGGCCAGCCTCTGGGTCCTGGAGGAAGAGGGCCTTTGCGTTTGCTTGAGAGTATCAGGCTCACTACGACCACGCCCAGCGCAGTAAGAGTAATGTCTAGCACGGATAGGGCACCGAGTCCGAGCATGTCAGGCATAGGAGCGCAGTGAGGAGCGTGAGGAGGAGATTCCGATGGTGATGTTTGAATGACGATCCTTACGGAGAGCGCCTGCTGTGGATACAGGCAACACCCGTAACCTTACTGCACGTGTGAAGGGCTGTCAGTGTCACGCACGGTGGATGTTTCGAAGAGTCCATGCCTGTACTTAGAATTAGATGAGCTTCAGCACAAATTAGCAATGGTCTGTTCTAGTACGTAGCGTCATCGAATAAGTCCGCCGCATACAATCAGTATGTCTGAGATACGTACGTACAGTAAACAGCATGATCCATTGACAGACGCTCGCTGCTACAAGCCCATTACCGCCGCACAAATTGACAGCATGCTACTCTCTGTCAAAGTCCAACCGAGAATCAAACTCAACGGAACAGAGGCGCGACTGCAAATTTATCCCGGCCTGATCTTCAATCCGCTGCACGTTCCGTCCATTCGGAGTGATCACGGTCTTCCACCACCAGAACGATCCTCCTCCGAGCATTTGTTCCGATCCGTCAGGCAAAAATCCAAATCCGAATCCGACCGATACAAGACGCACTGAAGGAAGATTTTTGATGAGGATCTTCGAGAACTCTTGTGCGATTTCGTAAGTGGGTACGATAGCAATAGGTGGGGGTGGGGGAGGATTGTCGGGGTCGTAAGCTTGGACAACGCACGAGAAGTGTCGTGACATGTCACCTCTTATGCATATCTGTATGTGCGTGAGCGACCTCATGGAGGCCAGGATAGGGGGCACAGTATTCTGCACGACGGCTTGATTCAATAAGCACGTTCGGAACCATCTCAGCTAGACTCACCATCCATTCAACCAGGTCGGCTTGGAACTGCAGCGCGTCCTGGAATTCACACAGCTGTATGATAAGGCAGCGTATCTGCGTCCCTATTTCAGCTAAATCCGTCCAAAAGGTTGGAGCGAGGTCGATATAAGGCATTATGCTCAATTTAAGCACAATTGGAGACGTATGTGTGACTGCGTTCAGCACGATGGGGAGGAATAAGGCACCATCCTCTGTAGAATCCCACTGAACTTGGATGCTTGGCATTGCAAGGACTCCGCTGATGAACAAGGTGTGGACCGGACACGTAATTGGCCATCGCCTGAAAGCAGTGACATGCGCTTGGACGACATCTAGACTAGGCCAGCAAGCGGTGAGAGCTGAGACCACGTTGACCTCGGGGGAGATTTCTTGTCCGCCCAGATGTAACACGCGTAGCTCTGGGAACGCGCGCACACAGGTCGACATAGTCGTAGTATTAGATGGAACAGCCAAACGGCGCAATTTCGGCAGCTGGCAATCGGTAAAAGCGGGGGGTATGGGAGGTTGTGTCCAGCGGTTAATGGATAACTCGGAGTCCAGCTCTTGGATACTTTGCATCGAAGAGATGTTCAAAATGAGGTGTTCAAAGCTGAAGGCATTAAAGTGCGCATGTATCTTGATCTTCCTTATATTACTACGCATGCATGGCAGAATCTTCAGCGAGGCGGCATCGACGCCACCTAGATCTATATCCTGCAAATATTGAAGCTTGGCGAGTGCGTCCCCCATGCGCGGCACAGCTTGAAGCAGGAATCCAATAGGGAAAATGCATAAGCTTCGGAGATTATGAGCGTGTTCAAGAAAATCCGCCAAGAGTTGCCAATGGGTAGAAGCTTGGTCGTGATACTCTCCGATTCCATGACTACGCACACTTAGCTTGCGAACACACATAATTCGGCCTTGGATATCTGCAAGCATGTAGGTGCATATTCTGATTGTTTCTTCCGGTCTGAACAACCAGATTTCTGATAGTGCTTGCCGTTTGGCAACCTGATGAAGTCCTCGAGCGGTGGTGGAGAGGTGGAGAGCGTCGCGAGTGTGGAGGTAAGAGACAATCTCTGTTAGAATGTCTTCATTGAGACGCAATAGAGATGAGTCTGAAGTGATGCGTTCCAACTAGCACACAGGTCGAAATATTAGCCCACAATACAAAGAAGCACTGTAAGCCTCACCTCATTGTGTGCCATTTTACGGGATACAACTCGAGGGGAAGATGGGCTTTGATATCACTCGCATCAACTTGAAGGGTCTTCATCTCGTAAGGGGATACAATGTGATGAGTCACACCACCTAGCAGTACAGATAGACGCTAAAAACGATTCGATATACATGTATACATGTATTCAAATAGCTCTCCATTTGTCCCTCTGCGTTCTATGTTATGGTCACGGGGGTCAGAATAGCCGACGTCAGTGGGCCAGTAGCACGTACCCGTCTGTGAATATTCTAAACGCGTACCCCTCGATACGTCTAACAGATGTGCATAAATCACCAGTCTTGTGGGCAAAGAGGAAGTCGATGGCCGATGGGATTCCATTACTTTCGAGATGGGCGCACCTTCGGCGCGCCCGTGCATCGCTCGGTCACGGTACAAGTAGATTCTAAGTGCATTGTTGTATAGAGCCGTAAACGTTTAGATTCGAGCCATCGGAGAAGGAGATGCAGAGTCACAACCGTCACGGTTGCCATGGTTGATCTTGGTTGATGGGTCACGGTGATGATCACGCTAAACGCCCAGGTCCATGACACAGGCTCACACAGCGCACCAGCTCAATGTCACTCTGGCAGGGACACTGTGCATCGAATTCGCTTCATTCTAGACGGCATATTTTGACCGTAGTCTCGCGAATTTTGTGCTGACTCCTGAGCCATCTCTGGGACACTCCTCTGTTTCAAGTTTAAGTATGCAGCCTCAGTGTTGACTCGTACATGGCTGCAAACAATGCTATTCCGTTGTATGAACATCTTCTGCTGGAGATGGTATTATCCGTTTGAACAGCTCGTGGTTGGATCGCATCTTGAAACGCCCCCGATAAACATTCGCGTCCCTCGCATCTCGTCGACCTCACTGTGTGTGCGTGACACGCTGTGCCGCAAAGTGCCCACATCTTCATCGCCTAGCTGACGAAGAGCTGAGCGCGATCAGTTAGCAGTAAACTCGGCATCCATTGACCGGTCATCCCCGAAGACTCTGACTATTATTCAAGCACTCCTCAATGCAACGGTCTTCAGCACTGAAGCATCTCACTATGTCGATCTCTTGGGGGTTAGTCGGGGTGTTAAACCTTCAATGGTAAGTGCTGCAATTTGGGAACGCAGTACCTCATTGAACTTGGAGAGCAGTGGTAAACTTGTCCAAGCTTCACGGACCCCAATTTCTGCACCTGAGAAGAATTGAGATACCTCGCAAGAATACGCAGGACCGAGGGACATTAGCATGGATTAGGCCGATGCCCTGAGGGCCATTACTCTCGAGAAGGTACAAATGTATTTAAACTCCAACAGGACATTCTATCACTACATCCTGGATTAGACCTAGACCGACATGCATGTAGCCTCTGTAGCGTTCGGTCATCCGGCGCTAATTGTCAAGTTCGTGGTTGATTCAAATATATGTATGGATTACGCCTAAGACGATTTCTAGTGAGTTATTTGGCACCATTCCCCTTACAAGTGCGAGTGTGAGACGAATAACTATATTGCTGACCTGCTGTTATCAGTGATTGGATTCTTCACTTCAGCGATCTCGGTTAGCTGAATAGCGTATTTCCTTGAATATCAATAACATGGCTCCCTATTTACTTTGCGATTTGAAGAGCCACTCTTTTCGTGGCCTCCCTGACGAGAGACACTGATTCCCGAAATTAAAGTCCGCCTTCATCCCTTCAGATCGGAGCCCCCTCTCGAAATACGTGAGTACCGTACACTACTTTGCTTCACATGCGACCTTCTATAGCTAACGAAAAGACAGGTCCACTGTATTGTCTGAGAGATCACTGCGTAGATATGGCGGCCCGCTGCGCTCCGGTCCACTCATCATGCACCATAAACCATCTCACGAGAAGAATCTATACATCATGATGGTCGGTGCCGCAGCGTATGTACCCAGGGTCTGAAAGCCTCCGCATTTTGGGGTCGCTCTGGATTTCCCATGTCGCTATATTTACGCCCAACTGGTAGCACGCCTGGTCGTTCGTGAAACAGGATTGTAAGTGTGTATGCTCATCTACATTTATCTGCACTTGGTCTTTGCCTGAATGTTGAACCCTCAGTTTGCCCACTCTCGGTCAGTTGAGCATGGAAAGCTTCCGTGACTGACGTCGCCGTGCCGGCCACATGGTGGCGAATTAAACGTGGTCTTCTGGTGTATGTGATCGCCCTGATCGCGCGGGCCGCGCATGAATGCCTCGCTTGCTCAGAATTTGACAACTACCGCATACGTGGTCACCACCTGCAACAGCCGTGCATGCGCTTTTGCACCAATATGGCTAGCAGGGTGTCATGGTCGCAACAGGAGACGTCGGTCGCGCCCAATAACATTCGCTGGAACTGTTCCTCCATGTGTCTCCAGACCGTCCGCCCATACAAACCCCCGGGCCGCCAGACGAAGGGTGACCATCCCTCTACGCGGTGCACATCATCCTGTCCACGTTCTCTATACTTTCTTGTGGCAGCCATCTAGTAAAAATAGGATTCTACATCCATTAAACTCCGCAGAACAACCTCCCAACGCCCTACGTCCGCTGCTATAAAATGAGGCAAAATTGTACCGGTGAATCCCCAACTCGAGGCTCGTTGTCCCCGTTCTACACGCTTCAGGTCTTCAAAATGTTCTCCAAGTCCGCTCTGCTCACTGCAATTCTCATCGCGCCGCTCGCTCTGGCGATGCCGTCGCCCACTGAGACGGCAAAGCGGTCGACCTGCACAGTCGACTCAGTGTCGTCTGCCTCTGATCTGTCTGACTGCTCCGACGTTGTGATCTCGTCTTTCACCGTCGACGACGGAGGTGAACACATTTTCTATACATTTTCCCTATGTCTTTCTCATTCCCCGGGTTTTCATAGATACTGTTACTATGAGCGTGCGCTACTGATCTTGCTTCACGGGTACGACTCTGCATCTCACGTTCCCTTGCTGAAGTTCGCAGAAGGCGCGACAGTCACGATGACGGGTGAAGTAACCTTCGCCAGCACTACAGGTGGGAGCCTATGACATGAATACACTGAATCGGGCTGATCATGCTTTAGCGTCTGGCCCATTGATTACATTTGGTGAGGCCATTATATTTTCTGCAAGAGATGGGGTCTTACACGCGAACAGAGGGAACGAGCATCTCGTTCAATGGCGGCGGAAACACATTCAATGTGCGCTTCACCACCGTGTCGTCGAAAATACACTGACATCCAATAGGGTAACGGCGCGGACTATTGGGATGGTGAGGGAACTGACGGTGGAAAAGCGAAGCCTCACCCTTTCATGAAGTACGTCCTGATCCGACGTGCATCCTAACTGTGCAGCTGACTTTGCACCTTTTTTAAGAATCGAAGCCTCCGGGTCTTTTGAGAACTTCATTGTAAGCGAGTCCGCTGATGTTAAATGCTGCTTCGACGAATAACATGCTCCGATTTTCACAGGTGTTGAACACACCTGCACAGGCAATCTCTGTTAATAACAACGACCCTTTGACCATCAAGGATGTCACGGTAAACAATCTTGCTGGCAATACTGACAGTCTGGGCGCAAACACGGATGTAATGACATCTAACGGATTTTACTGGGCAATGTCGCTGATTCGGGCCGTAACAGGGCTTCGACGTGTCCGCCTCTGATTTGACTATCACAAGCTGCGGTGTGTTCTACAATAGTCACGTCATTAATGACGGCCGCGAACTGACATGTTTCTTACAGTTGTCGAGAATCAGGACGATTGTATTGCCATTAATTCGGGCTCTAACATTGTCTTCTCCAACAACCAGTGCTCGTACGGCCACGGCATGTCGATTGGTTCCATTTCGTCGGGAAAGACCGTGTCTGGGGTGGTCTTCTCCGACAATACTGTCACGAGCTCAATGTACGGCACCCGCATCAAAGTCGACAGTGATGCGACCAGTGGCGGTGTGAGCAACGTAACATGGTCCGGGTACACATTGCACGTAAGATATTCTGGCATAATTACTGACATTTTTGGATAGAAACACCATGTCAGGCATCACGTACTATGGGGTTCTTATCACCCAGGTAACTGTTCTCTTGGGACAATTGCGGATTTCTCCAACTGAGCTCGGCGCAATAGTCGTACCCTGACAACGATGGTACTCCTGGAACCGACACGACCATCAGGTGAGTTTGGTGCTCGTACTTTCACTGTTGCTCGTCTCATCATTTGTCTGGTACTAGTGATATCAATTTCATCGGTAGTCCGACCGACGTCTCCGTTGAGTCAGGCGCATACAGGGTCACGGTCGACTGTGGCAACTGCGATGGGTGGGCTATCCGCATTATATAGTGACACAAAATTCACACCTTGTTCTAGCACCTGGGACTGGTCCGAGCTCACTGCAACTGGGGGAGACGCAGGTACCATTGATTCGGAGGATGCCACCGTGAGTGATTGCTAGTGCCTTTCCACAATCCCACTGAAAGGACACAGATTGAGGGTGGGTCTTATTGAGCCATGAATGCACTCTCCGAAGCGCACAAGTTGTCATAAACCATCGGCCTCCTGGAGGTTCGGCCGCTTTGTAAGATACCCTACTACAGCTTCCGTTACGCGTCCAAGTGCAATTCCATATTTCATCTTATTTCCGCATGTTGGTGGCATCCTCCGCCGTGTACAATGCTTGGCCCATCCATGAGCTGTTATTCATTTTTCTAGTTGTCTCGCCTTGTGTCACAGTATACATGAACGCTGCTGAATTGGATTTTTTGTACCTTAATCATGGCGTTCCAGCTGTCAAGTCAAATATTCAAGATCTGGCAACGATCGTACCTTGCTCGCAATCGGTACCTTGTTGTCTAACGCGCAAGCACTGCTAAGTGCGTAATACCGAAGGAGGCGGTCCCTTACGAAGCACGTTCCTCAGTACGACGGTGCTCGGCTGGCTGAGGTGAGTGGCAGAATATGCATTCAAAATCAACCGAGAAGAACCAAGCCTCGAGAACTCAACTGCGTTCATATCCTGCCCCAGCACACGAGCCAGCATTCCGCAATAATCCACTCTGTATTCCGCACTCAACAGATCCAGAGGACATCAGAAAGGAGAGCGCCACCAAAAAGGTGGTTTTAGCAAAGGGTCCAATTTCAAACCCATTCAAATATGTTTGTCGGACCAATGAGCGAGCTTACTACTTGAGGTATCCGAGCTCGCCAAGGGCATACTTGTAGATGTCAGGATCATTCATGATTTGAAGTTCCAAAGATGAGTTCTTGATGGCTCTCAAGATTGAATATTTGAGGTCACGGTACTTCGCCCAGCGGACAAACGATGGGCCACGGCCAACGAGTAGAGCAATTGATCCTAGTATATATTGTTCAAATCGAGCGATAAAGTCAGTCAGGCTCAGATTTTGGAAGCAAGCAAGAGAGTGCCAACGAGACTAAACATGCCATGAGTCATGGTCGTCGATAGAAAGAGGTGAGGTAGAGGCGCTAATTCCCTGACGTGCCACATACCGACACCCCGCGCCTTCCAAACTTGAAGTTGAACCAACCTGCTCGGGGCTTTACTTTGAACGGTAAGGCCACTCTAGCGATGCCACTGCGCATGATCATGTCCTGTGAATTATTGAACTAAAAATTAGCAGCGGGCCGCTGACGTTCCGGTCAGTGTCGTAATACTTTTGTGCCAAGTTGTCAATTGGGCTTGGTCAACGCTACGATCACGCTGGCACTGGCTGGTCAATACTAGTGACCGCACGTTGCGGTGCCTGCAGATGCGGTGAGTCACCAAGCTCTATGTATTATCTCCAGCACTTGCCTACTTCGTATAGCATAAGGTTCTGTAAACCCCGTCGAGATTAGCTCGTCGCGTCGTATACGCAACCGAGAACTGTTCCCTTGATCGCTATGATCACGCGGTCCATGTTCGTCTGCATGGCGTCCAATGTGAAGTAAGTATGGATTGTCATCACCGACTTCGCGACCGAAGACGTATATTGTATCACGCGCAAGTCCGCACGCACGGTCGAGGTCGTTGCAGCTGTCTAAGTTCTCTCGCGTTCCTGGATGTATCCTGGGACCATCCTTCTCCGGGCCGCCAGATTGCCCACAGTGTCTCACCGCTCTTCATGTGCGCTCTTTGGGATATGAAGATTCCTCATAAACTTCTCACATTGTCTGCGTTCTGTGCTTTTAAGGGCGTGCTGCTCGATTCGTCTTCTTGACCTGAGGTTCGCTCCCAAAGCCCCATTTCGCTCTCTTAGTCAACGCCATGTTTGCCAAGTCTGCTCTCCTCGCTGCTGTGCTCGTCGCGCCGTTCGCGCTCGCGGTCCCCTCGCCCACCAAGACGGCCAAGAGGGCAACATGCACGGTTGACTCGGTTGCTGCCGCAGCAGACTTGTCTGATTGCTCAGACGTTGTCATCTCGTCATTCACGGTTGAGAACAATGGTGCGAGCGTCATCCCTCCTTACGATGCCTTGAACATCTTGCTCATCAGCACTCACTCATCAGAAACCGTCACTATGAACGTAAGATACTGATCACGCCCTTCATTGAGGGAGCACTTGGATGATTACTATCGCTGTCTTAGTTTGCTCAAGGTGCTACGGTTACTATGTCAGGCGAAGTGACTTTTGCCAGTACAGTTGGTGAGGCAGCCGTTTTGCAGCTGCGAGTATCTACTAACGCAATTTCACAGCGTCTGGTCCACTCATCACGTTCGGTATATTTGCGTGTGCTGTAAATCTATCTGTGTCTCCAAACTCACGTGGGCGCAGAGGGTTCGGACGTTTCATTCAATGGTGGTGGATTCTCATTCAACGTAAGCTTGTCTGGGAAGGTTTAGGTTGATTCTAGAACCTGTTTCTAATATGTGATTCAATAGGGCAATGGTGCATACTACTGGGATGGCCAGGGAACAAACGGGGGGAAGCCCAAACCCCATCCATTCATGAAGTCAGTCTAGCATCGCCATTTGAAGTGTCACGTACTCACAGCATTGAAGGCTCAAGGCCTCTGGGACTTTTGAAAATTTTGTCGTATGTAACCTTTGCGGGTGTTAGTTTGCAAGTCACCTGGATCCTATTATTATCTACAGGTCCTGAACAGCCCTGCGCAAGCTATCTCGGTCGGCAATGACGAGCCATTGACCATCACGCAAGTTTACGTGAATAACCTGGCAGGGAATGTCGATAATTTAGGACACAACACTGATGTGAGAATGAATTGAGGAATTTCATCTTCCTTGCTAACGAGTATTCGTCAAGGGTTTTGACGTCTCTGCGTCCGATGTAACAATCACGAACTGTAGTGAGTGACGCCAATATTACAGTTGGCGAGAATCTTGTTGATCCTTATGTCCGCAGTCGTTCAGAATCAAGACGATTGCATTGCTATCAACGCTGGCAACAACATCGTCTTCTCGAACAATATCTGCTCCTTTGGACATGGTATGTGCCCTGATGTTTGTCTGCGTCCCAAATTGATCATACTGCGAAGGCATGTCTATTGGATCTATCTCCTCTGGAAAGACGGTCTCGGGAGTGATCTTCTCCGATAACTTCGTCAGTGAATCTATGTACGGCACTCGTATCAAAGTGGACTCGGATGCGACGAGTGGAAGTGTTAGTAACGTAACGTGGTCCGGGTATGAATATTGTTGTATTGAAATTGCACAACGATAGCTCATTTGACCCGCGCAGGAACACGATTACAGGTATTACTAGTTACGGAGTGCTGATCACACAGGTATGTAATGATTCATACATCCTTACATTAAGCCACAGTATGACATTTTTCCGACAGTCATATCCTGATAATGACAGTGCGCCCGGAAATGACACCATAATCAGGTCAGTCCTTTGGTTGGTCTTGGATACTTGAGACCCGACGAGGATTGCAGCGACGTCAATTTCGTTGGCCTTCCCACGGAAGTCTCAGTGAACTCGGATGCGTACAGGATCACTGTTGATTGTGGCAACTGTACTGGGTATGTCACTCTTACTTATTTTCCAGCCTGTTTGATCGAATTTCTTTTACCACAGTACGTGGGACTGGTCCGGTCTGATTGCCACTGGCGGCGAGACCAGTAATGTTGACCCCGATCAAGCCACGGTAATCGCAGCTGATCTATTTCGTCTGGGGGTCGACCTGACGCTTTTACACAGATCCAGGGTGGGTATTACTGAGTATGGAATTATAGTTATACAGCCTAGACACAGCCATCTCCCGATAACTCGGACTAAGTTCTCTACTATTTCTCTGACCTGCCATCTGCCGTGTTGCGTTTGGATAATGCCCTGTACCTTATTTGTCAATGATGTGAATCTCTAAAAGAGGCGAATTTCGTGTGAAAATATCTCAACAACGCTGTCTATATGGCGGCCCGGGATGAGCCCGATACCCACGTCGATTAGAACCGTGGCTGACATAGGCGCTTGAGCGTTCCGTCTTTAAGCCTCGTCCTCACTGCCAGCATCTGAGCATCCCCGGTCACGTCCCTATGCTATTTGCTCCTCATCTAGCTTCATTAATTGGTAGCCCTTGACTGGCGAGTACTAACTTTAGCCACTGGTGCTCCGTTCCTCACTATATAGCAGCTTGTATCATAATTCGCGCTACATATCGATATCACCGTAGATCGCATAGGGCTGGTACCATGGAAGTCACGGCGAAAAAACCAGCGCGACTCCCTCCAGAGTTATGTGATCATATCATAGACCATATATGGGATGATCGAGCAGCACTCCGAGCATGCAGTATTACGTGCCGTGCTTGGAGTGCAGAGGCACAATACCAACTCTTCCGAGACATCTATGTGCAGTCTTTATATCGAACAGGCCAGGACGAGGACTATCCCACTTTTTTTCTCAGTGACCGTTTCTAGCGCAGTGTGTCCGCGGCGTGCAAATAGGGGAATTCTCCGCCCTTCTCGTCTTACATGCGCTTCCAAAAGTGCACAAGTTGGAATTCCTTGCCTTCTGTGCTACAAAAGAGCATGAGGTCGTTCGCAAGCATCTGCTCTCGTGCAAATTTCCCACTATTCTCAATCTGATTTTACCCTCAGCCATCATCACACCTCAGACTCTCGACACTCCTTGATTCCTGCCCCCGAACACGTTGCCTTGAAATACGTGGTAGCAACTCTTGTCTCTCACGTCCTGGTTTGAACAAAGAAGGCAAATTTACGATCGAAGAACTACACGTGTGGAAACATGAAACACTGCAATGGCTGCTTGATGTTGGGCTTAGCATCAATTCGTGCAGGATGGGTCTTGACGCAGACATTTCTGGGCAAGCAGCCTACAGCTCGTGCAAAACCTCTTTACTTCTACGGGTCCAAAGCTACATACATTTGGTCTGCGCCTTAGTGCGGGAACCCAAGAACGAGAACGTGAGTGTCCTTTCATTGCCTTCTTTCCTTGTACCAGATAGAGTTCAACCTATGTTTTGCCTGACCTTGCGGCGAGTCTCTTCCGCACTAATTCTGGGATTGCGATGATAGCACAAGTCTTGCGGTACCTTGACACACAGCACAATACAGGTCTGCGGGTGCTACGCGTGTGCTACGCCTCATATCGCTGGAGAGAGATAGATGCATTTCCCCATGCTGCCAACTCGTTAGCCGGATTTCTCTCGCAGATACTCACCACCTGCTCACTGCTCACTCTGGAAGTTGTCTTCGATTTGCCTCTCTTTGAACTGAGCAATCTGTTCGCTTTGCCATGGACGCAGCTTGATATTGCATTTGTTCAGCTTGCGCTGACGAGTGTCGGTGGGTTTGACGGGTGTCCTATCGTGTTAGAAATACGCAACTCGGTCGGATGGAACGGGGTTGCTGAACAAGCGGCAGCGCATGTGGCGGGCAAGACGGTGAGAACTAAGGGCGCAGGATTGATGCTCAGAATACGATGTCTCACCTGTGTGAAGCCAAACGTGTCCAAGAGACGGCTAGAGAGGGTCGACTGGGTGATGTGATGGATGTAGTAGTTATTGGTGGGTGAGGTTTTGCTCCTGGATGGTACCTCTGCTTTCTCTCGGAGTCCAGTGAAGTGTAGGCTGCTATGAAGCCTTTGTATATCATTGGTGTCTGATATTAACCTACTATGGACATCCTGCCAAGATGCAAAATCCATTTCGGTCCTTTCAGCCCATATTAAGGAAGTGGTAATAGTTAAAATCCAACTTCGAGGAAAGCCTGAGGCTGCTAATATTTGGACCCTGATTTTTTTTGGGAATTTGGGTCGAGTCGTATCCACGTGATGGTTTTGAGATCGACGATTCGGATCAATGGAGGAGAAGGAGGATAGATTGGCAAAGACACAGTGTAAGTGCAGCACATGACGCTCAACCCGGTACAGAGGTCTACGTACGCTAGAAGTAACTACCAGCGTACTACGCGTCATGCACCCTACCTACCCAGTTGGAAATTCGAATCTGGATCATGCGTCTCGCTCGCCCAGTCAGACGAGTCTTAGTCTGCAAATGCGACGGGGGTGAAGGGTACATGGCAATTCATGCCTGCACTTCTACTACGGCATTCGCGTAACTTACTGCACGAAGCCTTCCATTATGTGGAACTATTCGTTCACCTTGCGAACTGGATGGTTTTATGCTATCACGATTCACGAGCACGCCCCGGGCCCGTCCACAAGCCAGCCAAGCCAGCCTTCGAAAGCACATCAAGCAAATGTATAATGAACATACTGTGAGACGCGGGGTCGATATTGGTGGAATGTGGAACCTGGCTAACTTAAGGGCTGGTGTCGTTGCAGTGATGCCTATTAGTAGAGTCTTTGAGAAACTCCTACTAGCGGCCTTCACTGACGACTACATCAAGACACTGGCAGGACCCGGATCTTAATGCGACATGGTTGTAGATAAGGTACTCGGTCAAGAAACACTCGACATACTGGCAATGGGTCAAGAAGGACTAAGTCTCAGTAATCCGATACCTCCAGAAACCGCGCCTCACCCTCAGCCAACATACCAGCCACGTCTATCCAAACATCGTGCTATCCTCAAAGTGTCATTAATGTCACGAATTTCCCACCGTCCGACGAAAAACTTCAGGATCAATTCATACGATTGTGGGCCAAACCATCAACTGACCCAAACACAAGTACGGCTTCGACATCCTACATGTTGGATGGTGGGAAGCGCGAGTATGAGAGCATTGAAAGTTCAATAGTACGATCGAAGGGCGGGAGGATAACAACGGACCTGCGCATGATGCTACCGGAACACTCTCTTGTGCGTTGAATTTGAGGTCAATGTACGAGACTTTGTCTCTTATGTTCCAGCGCCATACATCCTTTGAGATCTGAACGTGTCCCGGTCAACTCGCTGCAACACGGATCATGGGATATCACTGAGAAATGTGTGCTATTTATAAAGGCGTCGCTTTTATAGCAATTTATGGACTTCGTGTCTAGCCTTGACCCGATTGATAGAGATAGAGTGCGAACTAATAGCCGTGCTGTAACCCGTACACACTGCAGGGTTAGTGAGGACGAAGTCGTGAAGTCGGGTTTCAGTTCCTCAGCTCGTGCGAGAGTCGCTCAGCGATTGAGGAAGGACTTGGATTATAAATGATACACTCAAAAGAAGGAATATTTGCAGAACGACTATGCCTCTCATTGAAAAGCTTCGCGCATGGCACCAGCAGCTCACCGGAGCGGAAATGAGAAGGATGGCTTTGTGAACCCTTATACGTCTACCGCAACAAACAGCCACACCGTGCTGTGTCCCAGCATAAGGGGGACGAGCGGCTGTACTTTGATGCCGATTTGTGGAGGCGTGAACGCACCTGACCACCCTGGCTCTGCGGAACCAGAAAGGAGGATGACACAGGAATTCTCACAATTGAAATGGGCTGTTTGAATCCGCTATTTCGCACCGGGTGGTCGTTTGAAGCTTGGAGGGAGAGGTCATGGCCCTTACTGCTGCCGCGTGGAGTTCATGGCGTACCTTTTGTGACGAAATCCGAGGAGTATCGGGTCAACTGTCGACGTTCAATCATGACCTATATATATTCTAGAGGTGTGCGACGATGAGAACAACCTGTGAGTGATAGTATGCAGTTCGGGAGAATAGCCTTGCAAAGCCTGTGCGCCATGCTGTAGGATGGGTTTGTGTAGCGTTAGATCTATAGCGGAGGGGAACCGACCGAATATCGAACCGGTGGTTTCCTTCCGCGCCTAGAGCCAGCAGATTGCTTGGGTTGTGCCTCGGGAGTGAGTAGGGGTTTGGATAGTCCCTTTCCGATACTTGGCCCAAGAGCGAGCAATATTCGAAGAGATTGGGTCATTTGTCTGTGATGGGTATCTGAAATGCGGGATCACATTATGTATGGTCCTGAGGCCTGAGGCTGCTGGTCGTCGTTCGCGGGACGACGATGGGCGCCCAGTCGGTAGTCTGGCAAAGAGCGAGGATGCCGTCGAGCCGAAGAGAGGCGGAGTCGATCTGGGCTCGTCCAGATGGGGAAACTGACGCTGGGTGCGAGCGGGGATTGGCTGGGGACGTCTGGGCGGAGAATGGCGGGATCTGGACACTGGCCACGATCTCGACCTCGATCGGCGCAGGGCTCGGACGGAGGCTAGACTCTGCCCGCGAGCCCCCTCTCAAATACTGTCTGTACTGCCCTCCTCTCTGCCTCCTCCACACCCTCCCCGCCATGC